CGATACCAACCTATGGTAAAGATGATATTGATGGTCACGTGGTACCCTCACCTCTCGAAAAACAACCACTATTTCGCAACTGTCTCCATCATTGTTATTCTGGCCTTGAGAGGATTACCTGCTCACCGTAAGTGGGGAAATGAATAAAAAAAACTATCTCTATGGAGGAGCCTAACCCTAAACCCAGCCTTTCAAGAACAATGTAGTGGTAACTAGCTTAGCAACCTGGTCTTTGGGGTTCAATGTATCCAGCACGGTTTTCGCAGCTTCTTTGGCTGTATCTAGTTTGTCTCCGACCATAGAAAAGCTTGTATCAATCACAAGCACCACATCTTTAGCTTCAGGCGTAGCAGTCTCCACATAAAATGGTCTGAAGCGAGGGTCATAACCGTCACACTTTACAGGGTCGTCATACGCTGGAAAGTTTGTCATGACACCCTGTTCTGATCCAAAATACTGCCACTTGACTGAAGGATATTCATCTGAGATGGCTTTCATTTCCTTCAAAATCGTCCTGTCTAGATGTATTGGATTTTTTGGAGCAGTTCCAGCGATCTTCAAACACATACTGTTAAGATTTACTTTAGAGCGGAACCTCACATCATACTTTAGTGTAGATTTGTCGAATTTACAGCACTCTGGAAAGGGTTCCTCTGTCGTGCCGTAAGCATGTTCGACAGTTTTTTTGAGCCGCTCTGCGATAGTAAATCTTGCCTTGAAGATATCCCTGAGTTTATTTGCCAGAGGAACGATATTGGTTCCTCGCAATTCTCGTTCGTAGTATTTGAGGCTATCAAAATACTCCTATGAAACAAAAGAAAAGAGTTAGACATATTTTTTCCTCGGCAAAGTTTCGAGCTTCAGAACTTCTTGGTTAATAAGCAAAGTCAGGTCAATTTGGGTGATTTGCGACACATAGCGCTTGCGGCGACCAAAAATCTAATTCCAAGCGGTGCCGCTCCAAGACGCAGTTGACGAGGTGTTTGGGGGCTATTTTACAGATCGATATTGAAATAGACCAAAGTTGACGGATCTTAATCTTGAAATAAATCAATCAATCAATCGAACGAACGAACAATCGATCGTAAACTGAAACAATAATGCAACGATGTTCTTTAAATCTGATGAAAGGTTGCGAAATACATAAAAAAAATTTCATGTAAAAAGCTGGGCCTTAACGCCGATAACGAGATTAAAATGATGATAACTAATACAAACTACGTTAAAGTACCAAAAAATACAAGAATTTGGTGGCTGATTTACAGCCTATCGTTCTTATATAAATGGTAGGCGTTCACTGGCATCTGAAACAATTCTGGCCTTTAAATCTCAAATCAATTGAAAATAATTTATATATTTTCGCCCAATGCTGGAAAAATAAACCTAAGATCCGATTACATAAACAAATAGAAACGTAAACAAACGGATAATTATTGTAGCTAGGTTCGTATCCAGGATAATAGAAATAATTAAACTCATCAATAACTAATTCATTAAAAATGAGCCTCCTGGCTAGTGTCCTTAACACTATTGCCGAAGTCGTATTTTCTCATTCACTTCAAGAGGGTATAAGGAACATATTGTGGCATGGCTCTCATTTCAACCTCCGTCATTCTTTGAGCTTGGTGATGTTTAAGTGCACTTCACAATACACTACCTGCACAAACATCCTGGTGGTTAGATGTTTTTTATTTTATTTTTTTTTTTTGCATCTAATCGTCGCTCGTCGCGGTTGTGAATTAAACTCATCACACTATTTGCTATTTCGTGACGATTTGATGTTGACATTTGGCTATATAATTGAGAATTTGGCAATAATGGAACAAAATTAATGCAAGAGTTGAGTTGAATTAATTCAGCGATTCATCAATGACTTGAAATGGCGTTAAGTTCTACTTGCGTATTAATTAATTAAATGACGAATGGAAATAAATCTACCCAGCTATACATAATTTCCAGTTTGGAGCACCGGTTGAGGCGCTTTCTCAGGCGATTTCGAATTTGCTTTTTCTTAACATCGGTAATGCAAGAATAATCTCTGCAAAGCGCGAGCAACATATTTTTTAAGTCGTTAACATTTTAAAGCCTTATCACTATCTGTTTTGCTAGCCCATAGAATTAAAAATTCGTTAACATCAGACAGCTATGAAGAGGCGTATTCATAATGAGCCAAACAAACACTTTGCTAAGTCCTTAATTTCCGATGAGCTTACGAAACATATTAAAAGGATGACATGATAATTTCGAAAGAGTAAATATTATCAGTTTTCGGCTTCGAAAGTCGACTCGTTCACAAAAGGTAGCTGATTCTCAGAGTTAGATATTTGTTAGAGCTCGGTTATCAATTTATCTTCAAAGTTATGTTAAATTGTGAGTAGAATTAACTCTGCCTGCGGGGTGCTCTTAAATGTGATAAATATACTATGCAAAGTTGACAACTACTCACAACTTTATGTGGCCTTTTTACTTTCGCTTTGAAGACATAAAATTTAGTGGAATTCTTTTACTGAAAGCACCATGAACTTAGTTGGACAAATTTTAGTGTTAGATCGATTCTAGACATCGATTGAATGCAAACAGTTAACAGGAAGGAAGAAATCAATCAACTGCAGCTTTAATCAACAGCACGTTTGTAGATCTCGTGACCTGGTTTCAATCTGAAATCTTGATGTTCCTAACTATATCTCATAACTTAGCATAATTAGGTCTTTCGGTGTCATTATTTTTACAGAAAAATTGGCGTTTGGGTATTTTTTCACTTTGTTTTACTGTCGGATTGATAAACAAATATGAACTGTATGAACGGGCTACCACAAAATCTGCACGAGTCAAGTTTTACTAGCTTTGCGAGCATAATATTTTAAATCATGACGACTTCGTGGTTGTAAGATACGAAAGAAAAAGGGATTTGAGATGAAT